AAGTGTCCTAGCGGTGAAGGACCCAAGGGGTGAACCTCCATGCCCTGCCACAGGGCTGGTCCACAGGTAGCACCCTCCTTGACACGCATTTTGAGTGGGAGATTCATTTCCTAACCCTGCTTCCTGCAGAGTTCTATTGCTTCCCGTGGAAGCCAGAGTACTGTGCCTGTGCCCCGGGGTTTTATTCTGATTCCTCTTATAAAGACACCGACGGTCACATTGCTAGGTAAGTTGCTGCTGTCAACACCCTTTGCTTAGTAAACAATGCTCAACAAGAGTTTATACATATTTCACCTCCAGAATGTTCGGACATGTATCCCAGCTCTCCGTTCAGCCTTAAATTGATTGGCTAAGCAGTGTTAGAAGATCGCAGTGACATCACTTGGTGACATCACTGTGAACAGGTGTGTTCCCGGTCGTCCTCTCTGATTTCAGCCCTTTGAGTTCTGGCCAGGAGAAAGGAAACGGTTCACCTCTATCCAGATCCAAAGTCAGGGTGTTAGAGCTCACCCGAAGGGCACACAGAGGGCATCTTTCACCTGTCTCTTGTGTGACGAAACGTTCCTGGCTTTGCTGTTGTCAAACGTATGATAAAGTACGGCGTGGTGGGAAAGGAAAGAGGGGGAGTGTAAAATTTCCCGCTCCAGTCTGGCTTTTAACCTTCGCTGGGTGATGTGGGTTCCATCTCCAAGCTCGGTTTACCTCCTGTAAAATGAGCCTGTTTTATCAGTTCTGGAATGGTGTTATTCCACCTGTGGCTATTAGAAATGGGAAGCAATTCATACTGCCTGTGCATTAGAACTTGAGGCGTTTTGCTTCATTTTGAGACAGTGTCATGCTATGTGTATGAATCCCAACCTGGTGATCCTCTTGTGTCAGCCTCATGAGTTCTGGGATTAGAAGTGTGTGCCGTCATACCTGGCTTGAACTTGGTCTTGATACAAACGGTTGACTAGCCGGGATTCAGTCCCTATTTGGGATGCTTTACTGAACTCCTGCTTTGGTTAGACTACAATGCAGTCCTCCCACCCTAATTCATCCTGGGATTTGGTTGCCTGTGTGGCGGGGGTTGGAGTGGCGCTTTTAAAGAATTGAACAGGTTGTTTAGAGGGTTTGCCCAGTGAGAGTGGGCTGTTACACAGCAAATACAACCCCCTGCTCTATCTCGTCCACTGATTGTCCTTCTGACGTCTACAATGGGAGGAGGCCCTTGCCAGAAGCTGAGATGTTGCGTTGTACTCTTGGACTTCCCAGACCATAGGATCACGAGTCAAAGTAAACCTCCCACTCTGAAGGTTTCTCTGTAGCTTTGTGGTCTGTCCTGTTGTTCTGGAACTCGCTCTTGTAGACCAGGCTGGTCTCAAACTCACAGAGATCTGCCTGCCTCTGCCTCCCGAGTGCTGGCATTAAAGGCATGTGCCACCACCGCCCGGCCAGTGCCTTGCTTTTGAAATAGAAAACAGACTAAAGCAGCTTCATTTTTCAAAAAGAAAATTATATATTCATTTTTGTTTCTTAAAATTCCCCAGTGTTTTTCTTCCTCATTTATTTTCTTTATTGTCTAGTCACATAGGTTATCTGCCTTTAGACTGTATTTTGTTTTTCAGTTGGGTTGTAAGACAGTAGGTTTCCATGTGGCTTTTCCATACTCCCTTATCTTTGATTAACCCTTACTCTTATCCTCTCATCTCTTCCATATCCTTATACAAATATAAAATAGTGGAAAATCTGGTTCTAAGACGTAAGACATATCAAACATTTCATAAACAATATAAAGTGCATCAAGATTCTGCCTGAATGGTAAAAATGGTCCTACTGTACTGTAAAATATGTTTTGTTAGATTTTTTTACAGAAGTATCTTCCATCTATTCGTTTGACAAAAGGTTAATAGCCAGAGTACACAAAGAATTGAACTTGCTAAAAAGCTCAAGTAATTCAATTAAAAATAGACGATCTGAACAGAAAACTTCTCCCAATAAAGGTGACAAAGAAATACTAATGTCCAATAAAATACCATTAGTTTTCAGGGGAATGAAAATCAAAGCTATACAGGACTCAATCTTACTACTCTTTAAAAGACTATTATCAAACAGCAACAGTAACAACAAAAGTAAAAACTGTTACGGATGGAGACATAAAAGGACACTTAAGGCTGGCCCCGCAGTTGAGAGCAATGGTTGCTCTGCTCCAGAGGGCCACATGACATCTAACAACCGTCTGTAACCCCAGCCCCCGGGGGATCTTAAGCTCTCTTTTAGCCTCTACCACCATTGGCACCGAGCATATGTATGTGTAAGCAAAACATCCATATACATAAAATAAAAAAATCTAAGACAAGCACACTTAAATACTTATAGCTGCTATGGAGTAGAAAATAATGTGGAGGACACACACAACACACACACACTCACACACAACACACACACAACACACACATACTCACACACACTCACACACAACACACACATACACATACTCACACACAACACACACACACTCACACACAACACACACACACTCACACACAACACACACACTCACACACAACACACACACACTCACACACACACTCACACACACACTCACACACACACTCACACACTCACACACACAACACACACATACTCACACACTCACACACACACTCACACACAACACACACACTCACACACAACACACACATACTCACACACTCACACACACATACTCACACACTCACACACACTCACACACAACACACACTCACACACAACACACACTCACACACAACACACACACTCACACACAACACACACACACTCACACACACAACACACACACTCACACACACTCACACACAACACACACTCACACACAACACACACACTCACACACTCACATACAACACACACTCACACACAACACACACACTCACACACACTCACACACACTCACACACAACACACACATACACACACACTCACACATGCACTCTCTTACACACACAACACACACATACACACACTCACACATGCACTCTCACACACACACTCACACACACACTCACACACTGAAAATAATACTTGCTGTGTGATATCTGAGCTCATGCCTGAAGAAAATGAAGTTGCTCATTTTTTTTTCTTTTTGGTTTTCCGAGACAGGGTTTCCCTGTATTGTTTTGGAGCCTGTCCTGGAACTCTCTCTGTAGACTAGGCTGGCCTCGAACTCACAGAGATCCACCTGCCTCTGCCTCCCGAGTGCTGGGATTAAAGGCGTGCACCACCAATGTCTGGCTGAAAATGAAGCTGTAATATGATAGAGATATGTGTGTGCATGTGTATGTTGTATCCAAAGAGCTAGGATCTGAAGTCATCCCAGGTGCCCATCAACAGATGAATCGATGAAGAAATATGATGTATGTACACAGCGCATTATTGCTTTTTGTGTCATGTGTATGTATATGTGTGGATGCAGATACACATGTGTGGCATGTGTGCGTGTGTGTATGTATAGTCTAGAGTCCAGTCTCAGGTGTCATCCACAAGAACAACACCCACCTGCTTTGGAGACAGGGTAGCTCGCTGGCCTGGAACTCACTGATGTCTAAACTGGCTTGCAGAGCCCCAGGGATCTTCCTGCATCTCCTGTCTTCTTAGCATTGGGATTATAATCATGTGCTACCACATCAGACATTTTTTTTAAACATGGGTCCTCAAGCTTCTGAGGCAAGCATTTTACCAGCTGAATTATTTCCCTGACCCCTTATTATGGGTTATTATTCATAAAGAAGAATGAAATCCTGTCATATGTAGAAAAATGGATGGAACTATATAGGGCATCATGTTAAGTGAAATAAGCCAGACCTGGTAGGGCAAGTGTCATGTCTTCCTCTTTAAAAATAAGTGATGAGTTGCAAGTGGAAGATAAAATTATTAGGGACTGAGAGAAAGGTGTTTGTCCTGGTGTTTTATTTTGTTGTCTACTTAATACAAGCTAGAGATTTTGGAGACGAGGGAAACTCAACTGAGAGGATGCCCTCACCAGATTAAGCTGCAGGTAAGCTTGTGAGGCGTTTTCTTGAATAACAACTGGTGTATGCAGGTCCAGCCCTTAGGGTGGTGTCACCTCCGGACAGGTGGTCTAAGTTGTGTAAGGAGGCAGGCTGTGAAAGCCATGTGGAGTAAGCTAACACACAACATCCCTCCGCGACCCCTGATGGAGTTCCCGCCTCTAGATTCTTTCCCTGACTTCCTACAGTGATAGAATGTTACCTGGAGTGTGAGGCGGAACAAACCCCTTTTTCTTCCCCAAGTTGCTTTTGGTCATGGTGTTTTATGACAGCAATAGGAGGCAAGCAAAGGTAGAAAAAAGAGGAAAAGGGAAGAGATGGTGGGTGGGTGACTGGACGTGAGGGGCATGTGATGTGTAAATGAATAAAAGCACCTCAGTGAATCCCACTAATTAGGAAAGTTGAGATGTCTTAATCGTCATGATGAGAAGAGATAAAGGAGCTGCCGCCATGTGTTGGGATGAGAAGTTCCTATTTACAATAATCTCTCCACCTCCAGCGTGTTGGACGAGGTTCACTCAGTTATCATTAAATACCTATGCAATGAATAAATTAGGCAGAAGCCGTATCAGAGGTACTGGGAAAGGGCTGTAATGAGCAAACTATTCCAAGTGATGAAATTGGAGGTGATTGACTCTTTCATGTCTGATTATAGAGCTTTAAACAGGAGGACCAAAGCAGAGGTCTTTGAAGGCAGCATCGTCACCACTGGAATCCCAACTTCACAGAAACCAAACGAAAATATCTTTAATTAGTGAAAGAAATTGCCCTAAAGTTTTACCTAATAAGGTAGATGAGATTTTCTTACGCAATTCCATCTCCACTAATGGGGTAATCCTGTGTGACTTGCCCCACCCACCATCGAGGGTATAAAACCCAGGAGAGGTTAGTGATGGTCACAGGCAAGCGACTTACCCTCAACATCTAAACCAATCTACAGTTCCCGACACCATGAGCAGCTACAGCAGCTACTATGGAGGCCGAGGCTATGGCCACAGAGGTTTCAATGGACTGGGCTATGGCCATGGAACCTTTAGTGGCCTGCACCATGGCCATGGAGGTGTCAGTGGCTATGGCTACAACCACAGAGGCTTTAATGGCCTGGGCTATGGCTATGGCTGTGGAGGTGGCAGCTTCCATAGACTGGGCAACCATGGCTTTGGAGGCTATGGATATGGTTCTAGCTATGGAAACTACGGATATGGTTACTACCATCCCTCATCTTTTGGAGGCCATGGCTTCTCCAGCTTCTACTGAAGAGTGAGATTCTTCCTTGGGCCACTGGGATCCTCTCACGCTCACGACTCTGCTGAATTCTCAACGAGCTGTATACATCATCAGGGGCTGCCTGATGAATTCTCTTGAAGATCAAGATAACTCTGAAAAGAAACTCCAGAATCAAGAGACAACAACAAAGAGAACCCTTTCCATGGAATAGTCTGGAATCTTCGTTTTCAAATTACCAATCTCTTTTTCCTTTCATTATAACAATATAATACAAACTTTCATGTTTCAATAAATTAATCTCAACCATACAGCAAATGGTATCTCCTTCTCAAAACTTTATTTGACTGTGGCAAGAGAACTTAAAAACATTTAACAAAGCAACAGGGTCTTCATGCAGTCCAAGCTGGCCTAGAACCCACTGCGAAGCGGAAGGTGACCTTGAACCTTTGATCCCGATGCTTCTGCCTCTTGAGTGCTGGGATCATAGGTGTGTGTCACCCTGCCTGGTTTGTGGGGTGCTGGGAGCTGAAGCCGGGGGATTGTACATGGTAGGGAAGCACTTTACCAGTTGAGCCCCAGCCCCAGCCCCAGCCCCAGCCTGTACCAAATGGAAAGTGCACATCGTGCTGTTGACTTTTGGCAGATGTTGTTTGACTGATCCTTAGACCTTTTTCATCTGTTTAACCCAAACTTTCAGCTGTTTTATAGCAATTCTCCATTTCTCTTTCCACCCAGGATTTTTTTAACCACCATTTTGCTTCTTGGTTCTGTGAATTTGTCTGTTTTTAGACACGTCGTGTAAGCGGTATTTGTCGCCCTGCCACTGTCTTATTTCACTTGGTTTCATTTGTATTGATTCATTGAATTAGACCCACGCTCCTAGGTCTGTGCCTGCACATTCATCATGTGCATTCAGTGTGTGTCCATGACAGCGTCAGGCGCTGGTAAGTCACCAGAGGACAGCAGATTAGGAAACGTGCTCATTTTATAATATAAGACACTTGTAACCTAGTCACAGGAAGCCTGCTCAGGGGTTTTATAATAGAGCACCCATTGTAATTTGTTCAATGGTCACCTGAAATGCCATCTGAATTTTGGAATCGTGGTGGTTGTTCATGTTTCCACATTCTTCCTACTCCATGTTCTCTTCTGTCTGTCTGTCTGTCTGTCTGTGTGTCTCACTGTTTCATCAGCTGCATCTCTGTGTATAACTGTTGTCCCAGGATCTGACAAAATACCTCACTGGGACCTCCACAGTAACCTTTCCCATGTTCTTCCTTATGGGGTTAGATTGGAAAAAACTATGTATTCTTATCCCAAAAAACTACACTGCTGTGACAGTGAGAACCTGAACAAACCTTACAGCCACGAGGTTGAATGAAGAGGCTTCGGCACAATAGGATAAGTTTGCTGAAGACCTGTTTATTTAGGTTCCTAGACTAGAAGAGACAAGACACAGCTGAATTAGGTTGTCATTAAGACTTGAGCCAGGACAGTGGTTATCTTTGGAAGGCGGTGCCCGGAACAGTCATGAAAGGAGCATCTGAGGTAACAGGCAAGTTTCTTGGTTCTACCTGGGGATGGTCCAAGGTGGTAAGTCACTGTTCTAGCTAGGTTTAACTTCAATTTTACCCATCCTAGAGTCATCTGAGAAAGGAGTCTCTATCGAGGACTGTCCATACATTGGCTCATAAGTATGTGTGGAGAGATTGGTAGTTGGTACAGGAGGACACAGCCAACTATGGGAGGCACCTTTCCCTGGGCAGGTGGTCCTGGGATGTATAAGAAATCTGGGTATGCATGGGGTTGTGAGCATGTCAGCAAACAGCGTTCCTCAGAGATCTGAATTCAGCTCCTCGTGCTCTGCACAGCAAGTCCTTGGCTGACCGGGTTATCTTCCCAGTCTTAGTGTTAATGATGGTCATGAAAGTCTTCAGAATTCACAAGTGTGTCTGATGTATTTGGGGAAGATGATTGAGATCTAACTAAACTAATGCCGATGGCAAACATTTTCTCACGCTTACAGAAGAAGTGTCTGAGTGTGTGTGTGAAAAAATGGTGGCTTGGAAACCAAGACTCATGGGGACCATGAACAGAGAGATCAGCATAAATCTTGGCCAGGCAGCTGGTTTTATGACCACCCTGGCAACTAGCATCTTCCGTTTGACAGAAATAATATGCCACACACGAACCTTTCACTAAATCCAACTTTGCCTGAGTGCTTGCTGAGATTTATCTTCATAGGACAGATTAAACTTTCAAGGCTTGGGGGGAATTGTACTTTTTTCCAACTCACCAGCTAAATGGAATGCCAAGCACATGTCAAGCTTGAAAAGAAATTTCTGACAGCTGTTCTGATGATCTTGGACAAGATGACACCACATGTCACCTCAGATACCCTCTTAGAAATTTCTTTTTAAAAGTTTTATTTTTCTTAGGAACCCAGGGTCTTGCTGATGCCAGGCAAGCACTATGCTGCCAAATTCAGTCCACCTGCAAAGCCCACTCAAGATTTTAGAGCTGAGGCTTAGATGACACCTGGATTAGCATTACTTTTATGTGATTAAACTAACAGTATGTTTCAGAATATTTCGTAGGAGTAGGTTTTCAGCGTTTCTTAGAGTCAGTAATTTTTTCAGACCCTTGGGTGACTGGAGTGGGCATGTGGAAGGTACTTGTAGACGGAAGACATAAAACCCCAGATCTGTGCGGCATTACCAACTTCTGCTGTCTCTAGCCCCTCTTACAGCGCAGTATTTGGAAGAGCCGAATTCGAATCTGAATTTGAAATAGCTGAATTCAGGTCAAAGGCTATTTGTATGTCTGACTTGGAAAAATGTCTTTGCTGTGACAGTTTAGGGAGACCACATTGCATTACTGAATAGTTTTCTCAGTGGCTTCATCCCTTAAGGATTTCTTATTTTGCCTCAGTCTTAATGACTTAGCTCCTTCTGGGGCATTCCTGAGGTAGGTCAGGGGTCTGCCCTGCCTCAGGCTCACAGCCCCGTGCTCTCTTGCTCACTGTTGTAAAGGGAGAGGAGCATGCAGGACGTGCCGCTATGGAGGGGATGAAGGACTCAGCTGTGTCTGCTTCCACTGGTCAACCGAGAGCTCAGTTCCATGTCCCCGTGTGCCCAGGGTAGGGAGATTGGTAGCCGGTCCTCTCCCTCAACCACAACTAGGTTGGTTACAAAAAAATGATTTAGGTACAAAACTTTGGACTTAACCAAGATAAGATTGATAATAGAGTACTTTCTCCAAATTTGCCTAATGCAAATGGACTGGATGTTGTGAATGTCATTCTTACCTGGTAATTGTTCTTATCATGTATGGTTTTATTGTGCTAGAGTTAAAACTTTTCCTTTTCATTTAGACATGTTGCAGGACATTTGACCACACTGTGAAAACCAAGATTGCGTTGTTTATTGGGTGAACCTGCCACTGGCTGTGGTATAGCCCAGCCCTCACATACACCCTTGATCCTAGAGCTTTCTGGTTTTTGTAAACAGGATTGCATAAAATCAACCGTAGCCCAAGAGGTGGAGCAGGCAGCTAGTAGCCATAGAGAGTAAGAGGGAGTCAGGAAGATGGATAGAGATGCACAGGAAGTAGTAGGGAGGGACTCTGAGTTTGGAGGCCCTTTTTGATTTAGGATGGTGGAAGAGAGCTTTGTTGGCAAAGGAGGAAGGTCAGCTGGCTGCTTCCTCTGCCTCTCTAAGCTGGCTAGAGGTGACAGCCGGGAGTGCCACCACCACTGCTGCCTCAGCCACCGCAACATAAGAAGACAAACATTGTCTTAACTAAGTCTCTATTATTAACCAATAGAGATTCAGGAGCCAGATGCTGGGTGGAAAGGGGCACTCTGTCATACCTTGTTACTACTATCGTCAGTCAAATAAAGAAAAATCAGTTTCAGTTCCCATCCCCTAAACCATCAAACGTTAGAAACAGAAGGCATAGGTCATGAAGAGGGCGATCATGGCGGAAGGTTGGGGTAAGGAACGGCATCAAGTGTCTTTCTTTGACGTGGCGATGTTTTCTCTTCAACACACCCTGGCTTTTCCTGGTTTGGCCTTCCTGCTGCAATGTTTGGAACAACTGATCTCCCCCTACTCTTTAATGTGTCTTTCCTCTATGTTCTTATCCACTCACCCAGGGTTACTAAAGCGATGGCCAATGCAGCTGTGTGGAATAAGTTTACATGTTAACTGCAGTCTCTTGGTACGTATATTTTTAGTTGTTTGGGAATTTCAGACATGAATACAATGTATTTTGACCAAGTTCACCCTCATTCCTTCCCTTCCAATACCTCCTCCATGACCCCCATGGTGTTTTCTCACAGTTTCATGTCTTCTTCTTCTTCTTCTTCTTCTTCTTCTTCTTCTTCTTCTTCTTCTTCTTCTTCTTCTTCTTCTTCTTCTTCTTCTTCTCCTCCTCCTCCTCCTCTTCCTCCTCCTTTTCCTTCTTCTCCTTCTCCTCCTGCTCCTCCTTCTCCTCTTTCTCCTCCTCCTCCTCTTTCTCCTCTTCGTTCTCTTCCTCCCCCTCTCCCTTCTTCTCTTCCTCCATCCTTCCCCTCCCTTCTCCCCCTTCTCCTCCTCCACGCTGGGTTTACTTAGTGCTGTTAGTATACGGGGCCATCTACTGGAGTGTTGGTGACCTCTCAGGGTCATATACCTAAAACAAACCGACTTTCCCTCTCCTAATAACTATCATTTGCCAATAGCTCCTCAGCTAGGTATGGTATTTCATTACCTTCCATAAACCATGCTGGGAGTTCTTGTCTGACTTGAGTTTGCGCAAATCTTGGATACCATGCTACAACCATTGTGAGTGAGTTCAAATATCCAACTTCTTTGTTGTGTAGAGAATTATTTTATTGTAGTCTTCTACATTTTCAAATGTTACAGAACACTGATATCTTGCATTGTGTGATACATAAGAAAAGAGACAATGGATTCCTGTGCTCCTAAATAGTCATCAAAAGAGGGTTATGTGTAGACAGGGCTTAACAACTTACCTGGGTTTAAACA